GACAAGGAGCTGCCGGGTGCATCAGGAGGCAGGCAAGGCCCCAGCAAGGAACCGGCCTCCTCCTCCCTCCTTCATCTACTCACGAGGGCCTACGCTGTCCACAGTGGTGTTTATATGAACCGTACCAAGTCAAACTGCTATTTCAAATTATGAACAGCATCAATTACAGACTCTGAAGCAAAACGGATATGTGCATCAGTGGACAGAACCACAACTACAGATCAAAATATTAAAGGATTACCCGAAGGGAGGATTTCATTGTTATTTAGTAGAGAAGCAAACGGCCAGTAGAGGGCGCTCTCAGACAAGGCCAGGCTGCCGTGGTCTGGAGACCGGCACTGACAAATGCAGGATCTTATTTTCAAGACAGGACATTTCAGGGCCTTAGTAAGTAAACAGGTGAATGTACAAATGCTAATTAAGATAGTATTTACAAAAGGTAAGGCCTAAACTTGTTATACTTGAAAGCTAACATAAAATCTGCCTTAAAGGTGTGATTTGGACAATTTTAAAAGATGCTTAAACACACATTATTATTTACACTCACGACTATTTACATTTGGACCTAAATAATTCTGAGGGGCCCAGGGCTCTGCTGTGACTGCCAGAATTCCAAGCGCTGACCTCTAACCTCACAGGTGTCGGCCTCAGCCTTCCCTCCCAGAGTCACAACCCAAAAGTGTCCCCAGACATGGCCAGCAGTCACCCCCAGGGAGCCACGCCCTGTCCACCCTGCCCTGGTAGCTGCGGATACATTCATACGTAAGATCAGAAAAGCACCACCACTGACACCAGCCTCATTGTTCTCTATTATCAGCTAAATGCATTTTCTACCAGGAAAATGGATTTTTATCCTTAACATAGGGAAATGAAATAGAGAACTAGATACCTTGGTAAATAAGTACCCCATAGTTCAAAGCATTAAAATATGGGATAAATCAACCAGGTGATGAACCCACTCTTTGGTCAGTTTCATCCAAGAGCATAATATCTGGGCTGAATCTGAACTGCCAAAATATGAACGTGTGCAGATGTCAAAGAATTAGAGTCCGGAAGTAGTTCTTGCTGCATTTATCTTATTGACACATTACATGCAGTAGACACTTAACATACATTTACTAAATGACCAACTGCTATCTGTACAAAGTAACTTTTTTTTAAAAAAAGAACAAGATGTTTTTCTTCCACCTCATTCTGCCTTGGTACAAAGTATTTCAGGGGATACATACTGATATCAAGTGACCTCTACACTCTAGTACAACTGTGATTACATATTATTTGTGGGGACTTCCTATGAGGATTTGATCATCTTGCCCCAGTAACAAGGTCTTTCATGATTTCTTTCAATATTCTTTGATGGACTTTATGAAAAATAAAAATAAAATCTTCCAACACAGAAGTGACAGTAGGTAATCACAGACCTGACTTCAAATGTAAATGCATTCTATGTGCCATGCCTCTATTTTGGGATCATATCTCTGCTATGAAGATATAGTTCTAAAGCAAAATTCAAATTCTGCTAAAGTTTCTTTTCTTGGTATATGAAAGATCAGTTTCTCATTTATTTATTCATTCACTCATTTTTGTGTCGGGGCTCGAACTCAGGGCCTGAGCACAGTCCCCTGAGCTACTCTGCTCAAGGGTAGTGCTCTACCACTGGAGCCACAGCTCCAATTCACTGTCCTATTTTAAGAGTGATACAAGATACAGTGGAAACTCTACTTGTTTTCAGAAACTTTAAGTATACTTATAGATGAGTCTTCATAGGTACGTCTGGACCTCTCTGAGACCCAGTTTTTATCCACAAGCAAACTGCTCTCAAATTCCAAATCATTAAAAATGAATAGTATTAATTCATGAATGCAGGGGAAAATGGGTTAGATTTCCAGATGTGCAGAGTTTATACCATTTCTAATTTTCTCCCCAACCACATGAATCTGCAATCAAAACCTAATAGCAGCCAGGGGCCAGTGGCTCACACCTGTAATCCTAGCTACTGAGATGGCTGAGATCTGAGGACAGAGGTTCAAAACCAGCCTGGAAAGGGAAGCCTATGAGACTCTTAGTTCCAATTTTCCACCAAAAAGTCAGAAGTGGGAGTATGGCTCAAGTGGTAGAGCCTTGACAGAAAAAGCTCAGGGCCAGCCCTCAGTCTGAGTTCACTAACACTAAAAACAAAACAAAACCAAACCCCAAGTCTAACAGTTACAGTGAACTCTTTCATCCTCCTTTTTAGTTTTTACAGTTACATGGACTCAGCATTTTACTCAAACAACGTCTCTTACATTTCTTACAAGTGACCTACACCAAGATCTTAACAGTTCCCTGACACACACTATTATGGGTGAGATAAGTGGTCATCTCAGATGCCTTTCCCCAGGTAGCTGAGCTACGTGAAGGAATGTCCGTTTCAAAGTTCACAGTTTGTAACTAGTGTTTCCCAATGAACTCTTCTCACTTGGCAAACATCACGTTCAGAGGAACAGGTTTAAGACAATAAATGGATGAAGCTTATTTCAAGAAATGAATGAGTTCACCAATTTTGAGCACAAGGTTTATCTTTTTTCTTATTATTGTCTTTAAGTAGTTGTACAAAGGAGGTGTCACTGAACAAAACAGTTTATGAATACAGCAAGGTACTTTGGTCAATGGCACCGCTATGGAGTAAAGCGTTTTCTAATTCATTTTATCATATTCATGCATTGCTGCATTCTTAGGACATTTATGATGACTGGTGGGAAAGAGAAAAATAAGATGTCTCAGGCTTTCCGACCATCTTTCAAATCTCAGGAAAAGTTTTGCCTGCAATTTACAAAACTCCCTTTTCCATCTGAATTCAAAGAGGGGATGCCCAGTAATCTTGGGTTAGGACTACAGATTGAAAGGTATGAACTTCTTGCTCATCAATCAAGATAAAATGAAAACTGTAACAGCACAAATACACAAAGACCCAGGCAGCCACTTCAGTTAAGACAGTTTCCTTCATGAAGGCAAACTCTGAAAGCTAGAAGTCAAATACAAGTCTCTACTCTAAGTCAAAGCTTGGCAAAAATGAGCATTATTTCACCATCTTTTGGTACTGTCAAAAGTATGTACTACTTTCTTATGAGGTTAGTACGATCAAACCTTAAAGGTCTATCTCAATTATGGCCCAAATTCAGCCATGCCCTCAGAATCTACCTGAGCAATGTTTCTTCAAGACATTACCAACAGCCAGAGTGGTCGCTCACGCCTGTAATCCTAGCTAGGCAGGAGGCTGAGATCTGAGGATTGCGGTTCCTTGATAGCCTGGGCAGAAAAGTCCATAAGACTTAACTCCAATTAAAAAAAAAAAAAGCAGGAAGTGGTGCTGTGGCTCAGTTGGTCGAGCACTTCTAGGCTGAATAAAAGAAGCTCAGAGACAGCACCTAGGCCCTGAGTTCAAGACTGGGCAAAAAAAACCCCACAAAACATTACAAACCATAGTGGGCAAGAGGGCCTTTCGATGTGTTCTTTATCTTTCAATGTGTTCTTTATCCCACTGTCTGACTCAAAGAAAGATCTAGGAAATTCTTCAGAAGGGATTTTTAAAAATTGATACATTTGAAAATGACTTAAAAGGGATTGAGATTGTTTAGCCTAAGGTTAAATATGTCTAAGGAAGAATCTACCTCAAAGTCAAGCTGATACATTTAATACCAGTGGAACAAAAATAAATATAATATGAGTTAACAAGGGAGGCTATAGTACACGGCCTTATATAAATTTCTGGTTTTTTCCTCCGGTCCTGGGGCTTGAACTCTGGGTCTGGGCACCATCCCTGAGCTTTTGTGCTCAAGACTAGCACACTACCACTTGATTCACAGCTCCGCTCTCAGCTTTTTGGTGGCTCACTGTAAATAAGCGTCTCACAGACTTTGCTGCCCAGGCTGGCTTTGAACTTTGATTCCTCAGATCTCAGCCTCCCAAGTACTTAGGATTGCAGATGAAAACCACTGCTGCCCGGGTCCTTGCAGGTTTTTGAGATTAGGTTAATCCGTATGCAATGAGCTTGGTTAATGCAAGCGGTCTTGCGCCACCAGCAAACACAACTATCCTGGCTGATGTCTCCCAGGCTGCTCTTCTACCAATAAGCAGTTGGTCTTTATTTTGCCAAGTTTTCATAAAACTTGTCTAAGTCTGAAAGTAATTCGGAAAAGCTTACTAAATCAAATTGTACTAAATTTAACAATCTTGCTGGGGGTGTGATTCAGTGGAATCTCACCAGCCTGGAAAAAAAAAAAAATCACAGAAAGGTCCTGAGTTCAAATCCTCATACTGCCAAAGAAAAAAAACGAGTAATACATAGGCACTCCTGGCTCATACCTATAATCCTGGCTACTCAGGAAGCTGAGTCCTGAGGATCAGGGGGCAATGTCAACCCGGGCAGAAAATTCCATGACAGTCTACCTTCAATTAACTAGCAGAATGCTGGATTACAGGTGAGGTTCAAGTAGGAGAGCACCAGTCAAAAGCAAACAAGTTGAGCAAGAGCTCAAGGCCCTGAGCTCAAACTCTTGACCCACACAGCAACAACAACAAAAAAACCCTCAACCATCAGATGACTGTATTTTAGCAATCCACTTCAATCAATCGAACCTCTACGTGTCACATCAAATTGCTGAGAAGCACATAAACACAAAGCTCTAGTCAGGAGGATGGTGTTCAGGTACAGACAGGATACACAGGCACGTTCTCACCCTTTCAAAGATCCCTACAAGCCACTTTCAATCAAAATGCACAGGGAGCGCCATGAGGATGGGCCCCAGGAAAAAAAAAAAAGGGGGCTCCCGTATCTACATTTGCACCTCTCTTTAGTTGTTTGAAACCAAAGGACGTTTCGGTCATCGGGTCTCTCCCTTCCCAGTTAAGGGCTCACAGGCATGATCAGCGAAACCTCTTTCTTTCCTCTTCTTTGTTCTGGTGCCCAGGACGGCCCTGGGCCTGCGAGGCGGCATGGAGGACGTGAAACCACGAGTTACCTCTATAGTCGGGTCATATTCATCCACGAAGTGATTCTGGATTAGCTGAATCGTCAAGGCGCTCTTGCCGACGCCACCAGCTCCGACTACCACAAGCTTATATTCAGTCATTTTCAGCAGACCTTGCAACAGAAGAAACAAGGAAACCGTGAGTCAAGGAGTGCGTGCCACACGCAGGGTGAACACTCTACCAAAGGGCTGTACGCATGCCTTTTTGTTCCTTGGGTGCTGGTTATGGATCTTAAACTCGGGGCCTGGGCGCTGTCTCTGAACTTCTTCAGTGCAAGGCCAGCACGCTACCACTTGAGCCACAGTGGAACTTCCCATTTTTTTCTAAGTTGGTTGTTGGAGTTAAGAGTCTCACTGTCTTTCCTGCCTTGGCTGGCTTCAAATGGTGACCCTCAGACCTCGGCCTCCAGAGTAAATAGAATTACAGGTGTGAGCCACCGGTCCCAGCCTTGTATCATGAGCTCACCTTGAAATGAAAAAGTACAAGGCAATTCTGAAATTGACTTACGGCAAGAAGCTGCGTTTCAGTTACAAAGTTCCCCATGGGTATTTATGAGAAATGCATACAGAATAACTGGTGGTTGTTTTTGCTTCTGTGCCTAGTCTTTCAGGGGGCTTGAACTCAGGGCCTGGGTGCTTATCCCTGAGCTTTTATCCTCAACACTAGTGCCTGAGCCACAGCTCCATTCTCGTATTTTTGGTAGTTAACTGGACATAAGAGTTTTGTGGACTTTGCTCCCCAGAGTAGCTTCAAACCGCAATCCTCAGATCTCAGCCTCCTGAGTAGCTGGGATTACGGGCATGAGTCCACCAGCACCCAGCCTCTAATAAGACTTTTTGATCTAGAAAGTATTTGTGGCAAAAAAAAAACAAACCAAGGTTAAAAGGGGAGGAGGGGGAGTGTTCAGAGACGTTTGGATTATTCAAACTGGCTGATCGGATCAATATACAATCATACATTAGTACAAGAAAAACATCTAACAGCTGTCCACACAACTGCAAAAATGGAATAGGTGGAAGTCAACGCAACTTTAAAGATATAATAAATGCAAATCGACATACACAATTTTCAGTGAGGAAAAAAAAAAACTTCTAAAGACACAAGTGGATCTTTCTCAACGATTCGTGGGACTCTGACCAACCCCCCCCAGCATGCTAATCTCTCAAATGGAATACATATGGACAATCTAGACACTGGCCCATCTCAGGATGGGAAAAACAGCGGACAGTGTTTGCTCAGCTACTGAAAACACTTTGAAATGAGTATGTCCAATTTTGTGTCTCTTCCCATGGAACGTATCACTGCAAATACGGGACGAAATGCAGGGAGACGGCACAAGGATATGAATGTGTACGCGTGGTAAATAAATGCTGGACCCACGGGGCTTCCTAGGGACTGAAGAGTTATTCAAACAGGCACCAGGATGTTTTTTAAAAGTCATTTGGCTCACCAACATGCTAAGCATGTTTTCTGTACCCCTCCACCTTGCCCACAAAGAGCACCGTACAGCCCAGCTCCTGCTCTATTCTGGCCCACCTTCACGCTAGCTGCTGTGTGGGCAGCGCTGAGAACTACCACAAGCCTATCTTGCCCTACATATTATTCTAAAAGAAGGCCACAGCAGGGGCTGGGAAGATGGCTCAGTGGTAGAGTGCTCACCTAGCATGCAGGAAGCCCTGGGTTCAATTCCTCAGTACCACGGATACAGAAAAAGCCAGAAGTGGCGCTGTGGCTCAAGTGGTAGAGCGCTAGCCTTGAGCTAAAGAAACTCAGGGACAGCGCCCAGGCCCTGAATTCAAGTCCCAGGATTGGCCAAAAAAAAAAAAAAAAAGGCCAAGCAGCCTGGGGCCAGTGGCTCATACCTATAATCCTAGCTACTCAGGAGGCTGAGATCTGAGGACTGCAGTTTGAAACCAGCCCAGGCAGGAAAATCCATGAGACTCATCTCTACCAAGTTCAAGTGACAGAGCACTAGCCTTGAACAAAAGCAGCTCAGGGACAGGGTCCAGGCCCCAGGAGCGACAAAAAGAAAGGAAGGAAAGAAGGTCCAGGCAAATGGGATAGCAAGGAAAGCAAGCCAAGGAGTTTCCCTTTGCTATCTCCAGAACAATGCGGAGCCTACAAGGGCAGTTCAGGAATCTACCGG